AGTTTTCCCCAGAGAGAAAAAAAAATTTTTTTTTTTTTTTTTTTTTTTTTAGGGTTTTTTTAAAAAAAAAAAAAAAAAAAAAAAAAAAAAAAAAAACATAATGCAGTAACCAATTATGAAAAAAGCAACATTTTGTCAAATGCCATTGTTAAAATAATCAGGAATAATCATTATCAAATATACATAAGATATAATAACTGGTGCTCTGGTTAATTGTAATTTTTTTTAGACTTAATTTAAATGAAATTGGCGTTTCAGTATTTTTCCACTTGTATCATGTCTAGATGTCTGGCAGATGGAGGGTCTTAAGAGTAGTCTGGCTTTTAAAAATGTGTGTATTATTCAACAAAGATGGCACTAATTGCAAAGGGACAATGGGAACGCTTTTGTTTACTCACCTTGGACAGCTCAACCTGAAGCCAGAACATTCAGTCTTCTCCCAAATAAATATTGCTAAAACCCCGTCCTGTCTGTCTCAGTCTCGGCACGCTTTCATCTTCTCTCATTAGGATGAAAAGCGGGAGAGGGTTTCTGGGAGGACATGTGCTCTGACATGGTCACAGCATTTTAATGAGGGGATGTGTTAACGCTATGTCTTTTTTTGTTTGTTTTTTTTCCGGCACAAATCATGATTTCCTCCTTTTTATAAAGTGATCAAATGTTGTCGGGATGGACTCCTTTGATATGGAAGTGAATCATCCACTCTTTGACCTTTCTGTATTTTTCTTAAACAGACCTTTAAGTCTGGAGGCTTAAATCAAAGACTAGGAGGGATGCAGAAACCAATGTGAGCTGAAGAGCTGCTATTCTGTTTCATCTTGGACTCTAAAGTGCACTTTTAATATTTGATGTCCTAATTCTAATAATACCAGATGCCATATCTGATGACAAAAAAAAAGAAAAAAAAAAAACACCTGTCTCTGTTTTAATACTTTGTAAGATAAATTACTGGAGCTTCAAGCCTACTGTTGTGCTTCTCTCTTGTCTTTTTGTAGGCGGCTTGAAAAACCAAAACGAGACAAATACAGCCAAGAAGATGCAAAGCGGACTTGGACCCTATATTTCTCAAATGAATCAATATGTGTTTGGATACCTGACCTGATCAAACAGCAGAAGCCTGTGTTTGTGAGTATGAATGTGTTCATTACTGTGACTGAGATGTTTTGCACAGATGTTAGGCTTTAGATTATCATGCACCCTTCATTTTGCACCAGGTGGGTGTGTGGGGATTCTGCAGTGTGCTGATGATGTGAGGCTTAAGTTGGATCTTGGATATTGGAGAGTGTTCATCTCGTGGTTCAGACTGTGGTTACCTAAACCAGATATATCTAGTCAGGCCTGTGATTGAATAAAGTCAACCACGCAACAGGAGGAATATCAAACTTTCTCCCTTTTTTTGTCTTTTTGTACCAGAGATAAACTACCAACACTGCAAGGCAACAAGACCCGCTACACTTTTTGACAAAGCTACCAGGACAAAACACAAAAGGAAATCGATTTAAATGAGCTGGGTTTTTTATACATCTGTTATACCGTGCCTCTAAGCGTAAACTAGATCCTATCAGAGAGAAGGAAATACTAACATGAAAATTTATTTATTGTGTTAATTTTAAAAGGGATTGATATTAGCACTCTGGGGGGGGGGGGGGAAAACTTTTTGGGGCACACCGGCAGGGATTTAATTTTTTTTTAAAAATCTGTGGCAATAGTTTCCACTGAAGCTCTTAATCCAGTCGTATTGTGTTTGAGATAGTTTTGCAAAGAAATATAGTAACATAGCAACCTGTATCAGTTTGGTAAGGTGATGTATATGAACCAAACATTTGGTCTTAAGAAGCTGTAGGATGTTTCAACGAATGACGTTAAAAGCCCAAGCATGTGTAAAACTAGATATCTCATTAAAATCTATAATTATTTATCTTTATTATGAAATGTAGCCCTTTAACTCATTTTATATTATTTTTGTGAGTGTGACTTTACTTGACTAATAAGATATTTTTTTTTTTTCCATTTGAAAAGTACACTTACTTTCTACATAAATGGTAAACATGTTATACATCCAGAGGTTTTTCCTGAGATTTTATCATAGCAGATCCATCACACTGAACATTTTCTCACTTCTAAAGCATAAAATCTGTTAAAACCTGCATTCCTGCATGCTGTCCATTCATCACAGAGGCTCACTTAGCTGTCAGATTCTTTTTCCTCCACTTGGAATCATTTTCTCTGACAGAAAACATTATTCAGACTGTTTTATTTCCTTTTTTTTAAGATCATCATCCATGACAGCTAAAATCGAAGGCTGTTTGACAGATTGTCTCTCCACTGCATTTCTGTGTTAAAGACATCTATAGATGCAGTTTTTTTGCGGATAGACATGCATCACAGTGAGAAACTCCCACTTTGCTAAGCAAACACTTTGATACAACATTAGGGACACAAAATGAGAACTGATTCACACCATATATCTAATGCTTTGGATCTGCTTTCAAAAACCAACGATATTTGTTAAGTCCAAGAGCTTTCAAGCAATAACTGTATTGTGTAAGTGCGATAAACAAATATTGCGTTGCAGAACAACAGACAGCACTAGACTTCGTCTTTTTAATGTTCATACAATCCAAAGGTCTTTTTCTTTTTTTTTTAACTGCGGTGGGACACAAACAACAATTCAAACTTGTCAAATCCAATCATGTATATTGAGTTATAAATTTAAAGTGGAAGAAACGACCTTCTGACAAATTACATACAGTAGAAAACCTCAAATAAAACTCATACGTCATATTTAACCATAAAAAAAATAGCTTTTATCTGTTCTACAAGGAACATATGAATGGACAATATTTATTAGCAGAGCAATCATTCAGCAAATTCCAGAAAGAATAAATTAGAAAATATGACTTAATATTAATCAATGTGGCCTACCTCTGTCTCATTATGTTTTTCTCTCTTTCTTATTGAACGTTGGTGTCATTTAGCGCTATTCCTGCAGAAGTCATTCTTCCTAATTATCCCAGGGGCAAAGAGTTAATCCACGATTGTCTCACCTTTGCTTTCTAAAGGGTGGAAACAGATAAGGACTTTTAGATAAGTGGTGGCAAAGAGACTCTTCGCACACTATGAAATAAACTGCAGCAAAGATGCAATCTGCTAGGCAAATTGGGTTTCGTGTTCTCAAAATCGCTGAATTCTTTGGTATCCTTGTGGGGTTAATACAAGAATGTCGTCCTAAAAACGGGAACAGATTTTTGGTCAGTGTGATGCATTAATATTGCTTGTTTTGGAAACAAAAAAAAAATAAATAACTGCATTGATATATTACAATTAAATACCATTAACACTACCAGTAGGGTGACTATGCTGGACCCTCTAATTCAGTCTTTGTGAGTTGCATTCAAAGCAGTGGTAAGGATATAAGCATATAGGAAAGGATTGGCACGAGGAGCACGGCATTAACAAAGCCACTGCAGGAGCATGGCTGAACTAAACAAAGTATTTCCAAGCATTTATTATTTTTACTTTCACTAATTGCTAGGTTGCTTTTGTGGGCACTTTTAGCAGTGATCTGTATGAAAGCTTTTCAGCTGAAGAACTTCATATGTGCAAGGTTTTTTAAAGTATGAGCATATTCAGTTCATTTTATGACTAGCTTGAACTGAGCACAAGTAAAAAATTGCAAAAAAAAAAAAAAAAACAGGATTTTCTGTGAACAGCTGCTGCAAACACAGACTCTAAGGATAAGCAGATGACTGCTTGTGGTGTGACATTGCACGGAATTATCTTTTGTTTTTACCTTTTATGCTTCCATTTGGGTGTCTGCTGCTTCTAGTGACAGCCCAAACACTTAAAACATAACAAAACAAAACAAAACAAAAAAAAAAAAAAACGTCGGGTTGTTTTCTGGCAACTGGAAGGGATGGGGGTGAAGAGGCCAGAAACCACCACTGTTTGAACATAATGAGAAATTGTATTTTAAGAGTTAGAAATCTTCAATAGAAAACAGTGAAAACTACTTATAATATCACTATTAAGTTATTTTTAACCCATAACGGAGACGTTATGCCATACAACTATACCATGCCACAATAATTTCCCATAATCTTACCAGTACACAGTACTTTTGTATCTCGCTCACACATTTTTTTTTTTTTTTTTAAGGTGAAGAGGCTGACAGCAGATCTGAGCTCAGCACTGACTGCTTGCAGCAGATTTCCTATAACAAAATTTCCCTTTGTTCTGGTGGATCTCTGTCAGGCGATGTCAGCTTGTTTTCTTTTGTTAGGAAATGAACTCTCTGGAGTTCGAGTCTCTTAATTCATCTTCCTTTGTTACCCTGTTTCTTTTTGGAATAAGGTGGCATACAGATTAGCTTTGGGCCACATTACATTTAATTGTTACTTCTATGATAATTATTAGGCTTTTACAATCTAGTGTTATTTAGCTGGCAACTTAAGTTGCAGAAGAGCAATAGGTGCAGTCTGATCACAGGACTTTAAACTGTTAGGTTCAGGCTTGGACCTACTTTCTTTGTCTTCCATCTCCGCAGCCATTTTCTAGTTTAGAAATATCAACACACATCTATCTTACTTTAATGGCATGTTCTCTTATGTGCACCATTTTTAAGAGTTGCTAACAAAAATGGCCGTCTGTGTCATGTCATGTTCATACCCTAGGAAAATTAAGCATTGAATGCTAAAAGGATGCAAAATAAAATTAAAAATAAAGCAGGAATTGCAAAAAAGTATATTTGCAATTATCTTTCAGAAATTTTATGAACTTAAGAAGCCAATAAGTTCAATACTAGTGAAGGTGCAAAAAGTGTTTCTTAGTGTTTTTCCATGTTGAATAAATGTACTCCTTTTTTAAACATTCTGTTTTTCAGTCCTGGACAATGGCACTGCAGTGGCTATTTTGTAGCTTTTCCCAAAGCTTTAAAAGTTTTTAATGCTCGTCATAATAATTTCTTTAAAGCATATCACATTTTTAGCCTAAACTTGCTCACTGAGTGGTGATCACATCCAGCCAAGAAGTCAAAAATGTTTTTGGTAGGGGCCCTTGGCAACTTGGGCTTTCTCATGTTTCTTCTCAAATGTTGTCGTGAGACTTTACTAGTCAAATGCAAGCTGTCAAAAATGTGGTTTTTCACTTTGAAATAGCAGAATTTTATTTAATAACCTGTCAGAGGTGCAATGGTCAGCCACTTTCTTCTGAAAATATACGTAGCCCCATGTCACAATAGGAACAGTAAAGTGGTAAAATAGGTTCTTCTCAAATTAAGTAATTCAGTGTAAATATGCCCCTGAGGGTAGAAAATATATCTGCAGAAAAAAAAAAAGACATTTCTGGACTTTAAATTGCCTTCTCGCTCCATCTTCTCTCAGCAGGTTATCAAGGAGATGATAACATGTTAGTGTAACCCCGCGATCCCTCGATTGCTCTTGTCGATTAAACAATCTGGCCTGAAATTTGACCTGCGCCTCCACTTCCATCCTATTTCAGTTTCCCAGTGGCCAAGCTGGGGCCGCCCGACACCGGCCCCATCACAGCTCCCTAATCCTCCTCATTAGGCAGAGCCCCAAGGCTCTCCTTACAGTTCATCTATTCCCACATGCCACGCACCCTACCCTGCTTTCATTTTTGGCAGTGTGTGGAAATGTCATGAATTTTCCATGTGCAGTGTGTGTCAGCTGCAGAACTAGAGAAAAATTAGGAGAAATCAGGTCGCAGTCATTTAATTCTCCAGGTTTTTGCCTCTTTTCAGGGTACATTATCCGTCTTCTTTTTTTTCTTGTTATTCATTTTCTTTTTTGTTTTAATGCTGCAAAACCAAACTCTCTCTGAAGTTTAAGTGCAGAAAAACAAATTAAAGCCGTAAAAATCCTCCCTTCCTCTCATGTAAAGGTTGTGGCAGAGCGGCAAATGCTGAGAGGATCTAAATTAACCCCCCTTTGAAGTTGAGCTCTCTGGATTTCTCTATTAAAAAACCTGTTATTGTGCGTCATAGAAACAACTGAGACGAATCTGGAGCTGCAGTTTCTCGGTGGTCGACCCGAATCCAAATACGCTGGCTATACGGCTGCATGACGCCCTCTGACAAATGATGCTAAAACTCTGGTGACAGCAGCAGTAGAAGGCGGGAGGGGGGGGAATGAAAAATCTAAAAGTTTAGCAGCTTTAGCTCCTTATCCAAAAATATGTTCAGAGTGATACCATGTTCTATTTATAAATGGCTTGCAGAGGGGATTTTTATATATTTTTTTCTTTTTAATCCAAGGCAGGGAGGGGAATGGGCGTGAAATGCTGTACCACAGAGGAGTTTAATGTGTCTGACAAGGTATTAAAACTGAG